CTGTTCCTCCATTAGAGTGCAGTGTCCCACCTGGCCCCAGCTTGACTGGATGATGTCTCTGTGTTTTTCCTCCATCTCCAGTCACCCCTACTCACGAATCCTTTATTGATGCTGCATGGGTCATAGCAATCCACAACGGACTCTGGAGCATAAATTGCATCTTGGAGCCGTCTCTGCCCTGGACCCAATTCTGACTGGCTGCAGGCTGCCCTGGGGCACTGGAGACTGCAGTTTTTCCTTAGCCAAGACAGATCCCATGAGCTGAGGTTAGTTCTCTCAAGAAGGGGCAGTTGTGGGTTGGGTGGGGTCAGGAATAGAGGAAGGTAAATGCACCAACCTAGGAAAAGAAATCTGAGTAGGGCATCAAGAGCATCTTTTACAATTGTTCTTATTGGCCCAGTGATCTCTGTCCTCCCCATTACACTGAAAGTGCCAGGTGATCAAGGTCACTGTGTTTCTTGCTTATTATCAACTCCCCAGTGCCTGTCGCAGGTGGGAAACTTAATCATTTATATATGCAATTAATTGACTCAGCAAATGCTAATTGAATATCTATTAAATCCTGGGCAGTAGTCTTGGGTTTGGTAATTTAGACATGAACAAACCAAAAGCCCCTGTCCTTCTCAGGGAGATGAAAATAAATGCAAAAACATATATGCATGTGTCTCCATGTATGCACACATATCCACGATACGCAGTCAGGAAATGATAAATATCATGAGGGAAAACAGAGTGGGAGGATGGGGGAAGGATATTTCAGACAGTGTGGGGTGATATTTTAGAGCAATGAAAGGAAGATTCTCTAAGAAGGTGACATTTAAGTTGAATGAAGTGAGGGATCAATATGTGAGAATATCTTCTAATGGCAAAAAATTTCTATGTCGATTCAAAATTATTCCAAAATTTTAAAAAAATTTAATTAAAAGGATATCTCGGGGAAGAGCATTCCAGGCACAGGAAAGAAATGGATGAGTCACAGGAAACAGCTGGAATTTTTGTATTGATAAAGCAGAAGGTGGCTGAGAGACATGGACGGTTGACCTGCGGCTTACTGTGGACATTTATTTGTTTTTTAATTAACTTTAAACATTTATCAAAGTATACATGCACAAGATTAGAAATCAAATAGGATAGAAAAGACTTTAAATGAAAAACAGATATCCTGGCCCCACCTGGTCCTTTTCCCCAAGAGCCATCAAGAGTAATGATTTTTGTCTAAGTTTAAGTTACGCCAATCTCTCCTCTTCTCCAAATATAGTCAGAGGATATTTTTGGTTCTGTTGGTCACTTTTGTGATTTTCAATAAAATTCCCAAGTTCGAGATACCCTCTCATCAGCCAGAGACATATATCTTTGTTTGTCTCTTTGTCATATAAGGATTTTACCGTCCTTCCCCAACTCACCCACCGGGGCTGGTCCCAGGGGCCATGTTGTGCTGGTCACCCGTCATCTTGAGCACCACCACTGACTGGAAATGCTACACACACAGGCTGCCAATCAGATTGTCTCTTCTGGAAACTTGGACAGGAAACGAAAACTTCTTCTCATTTTTAGTCGGGTTAGGTTCCTTGAATAGAAATGACACGGAGACTCAACATCTCGCTCCCATCTTGAAGATCAAAGAGTAGAGAAGGCAAAACAATTTCTTCCAACTAAAAAATATGAAAAGAGGAGAAGATGAAAAATGGAACAACTGTCAAAACTCCTGATGGCTTTGTCTTTCCTAATTCTAGTTCTTTGTCGAGGCCTCATGGTGCCTGGCCTCACGGATCCTTAAAATGTTTGCCACATCCTTCTACCAAGCCCCCCATTTTCTCAAGCTAGTGCCAGCGAATTTCTGCAGTTTACAGACAAAAAAAATGTGCTCACTAGTACAAATCCCTCACTACATAATTGGCCTCTGGGGGAATGAGGACTATATCTTTGTTCCAAAGTATGGAGCAGATTGTCTTGCACTTAGTAGGGACACAAGAAGCAATGATTGAATTGAATGACTTGTTGGTGCTCCTTAAATAACAGAGCCACTCTCTCTTTCTTTATGCTTTTATTAGTGCATTATAGTTACCCACAACAGTTGGGTTCATTTTGACGTAATCATATATGCAAGGAATTTGATCTACTGCATTTCAGGCCTGGACTCCACCTCCTGCCCCTCCATTCCCTCTCCTCCCCCTTCCCTCTATTCCCATTTATTTATTTATCTTTAAATAAAGATAATTTATATATATTAAATATATATAAATATGTATAATTTAAATAAAGATAATTTATCTGTAATAAAGATAAATGCATTTATTTATCTTTAAATGATGATTTATAGATATACATAAAGGTGGAATTAACCACTTTCACGGGGAACTCACTTTTCCAGAGGTGAGTAACTGATATAAAAGGATGAGCAGGAAAAAAACCACACAAATACGCTGTGCCAGCTACTCACTAGCTAAGAGTCAGATGGGAGAAAAAAGTCTTAAGAGAATCCCACATGAGTGTCAAGCTGTCTGAATGCTCTGCCAGACTCTTGCCAGATAAGTAGAATCAGAAAGGGTCATCAGCCAACACAGAGGACTGTCGCTCCTTGGCTTTGAGGGAGGGCTCTGGGAATCTCTGGGGGCCCTGATTGATCTGGCGAACGAGCCCTCTAGTGGCGAGAAATGGAAATTGCACCTAGACTTGGAAACAGATTTCTACGCACCGTGTACACACCTACACGTTCTATTGAATGAAAGGATGAGGTCACCCCCTAGTAAGTGGGGAGGAATTATCAGGAACTAACTGGCGGTCTCCCTGCCTCCGCACTCCCACTCCAGTCAGGTGTTCTGACTTGCTCCATATGCAGGTTCAGGACTTCCCACACTCTCTGATCAGCTTCTGCTCTGGACAAGAGTTACAGAGGATGCTCTTGCCTAACCAAGGCAAAAGCTCAGTGTACATCGCCATTCTTGCAACTCTCTTGGGTCCCCTTTCTCCACGTTGTGACTGTGATTGTTACCTTCATCTACCTGGGTTCCTGACCCCTTCTTCCCACCAGCCTACCTGGATACTTGATTCTTTCGCAGAACAACTTCTTGACCACCACACCTGGATGTCTGGGCTCTAGTACAATCTGAGGGGTGGAGATGGACCTGCTCTTCTTTTACTGCAGATCTGGTGAATGGAGCGATTGGCACACTCTCCCCAAGGCCCCTTGACTTTCTGTCAACCTGGTCTTACTTTGATAGAATACCTTTCTCGCCCCTTACTGGAGTCATGCAAGAATAAAATGTCTTGGGGTGACTGTTGGGTCAGTATGAATTAGTTCATATTGCTTAAGTTTCTGAGAGTGGGAAAGGAAAATTCACTAATTTAATAACTTCCACCAGAAAAGAACAATTTCACCTCCCTGTTATACATGGCCTTTTCCTTAAAAAAAAAAAAAAAAAACTAATAATAACCAAGGCAGGATATTTTATGGAGAAGAGAATTTTCATTAGAGGAAAAAGAAACAGCACTAAGTTACTGGTAGGAGGCTTGGTACAACTTACTCCATTATCTGCTGGGGTATGGCTACATGTGATCCTGGCTACAAGTTATGTGTTGCAATTCTTTTGTTTATGCAGCAAATTTTCAGTATAAAGCATGATACATTCACATGAAATCAAGCACATATGTGTAAAAAGCTACACATGCCAACCTATGATAATACGCATGCTCACTGCTGCATGTTTATATCAGATATGAGCACATGGGCCATGACAGTGCTGCATATACACAGCCTTTGCAACAAATCTCCAGGCATTCAGAACTCACAGCAAAGTTGAACACAGCACAGGTAAACATTCAAATACAAATCATACCATAATGGCGTATTCAAATCAATGCATGCACATACATGTATATCTAACACCATGAATGAAGTCTTCAAATGACCTTAACACCAAATAAAAACAGCAACGTCATGGAGAAGTTGGGAGTGGCTTTTGAGAGCCTTCTGATACATGCTGCTACTCAATCAATGGAATAGTAGTTCTCAGACAGCCAGAGATGGCTCCGTGGCAGTATCTTGTCAGTGATTATCTCCTATTACATTTTTGTCCAGTAAAATAACACTTAACTGTGACAGCTAGTTGTGGACACATCTCAGGGACAGCAGAAGCAACTCAAGCAGCCTCGATTGCAAACACTCAACCTTTGACTGTATCAGTCATATAATAGCACAAGAAAAAAAAACATAAGAGCTACTCTGTAGAATGTCTTCAGTCAACTAACTCTGTGGGTGCTCATGTGTGTGCTGGAAGACATGGTACTGGCTGGCTCAGGGCTGATCCTTTGCAACATGGTCTATTTCCAAAGGAGAGAGCTTTCAGGTATGCAAAGGCATTTGTACTTTGGACTAACAAGGAAAGCAGCTCAGACTTCACCTGTTTTGTGGTCTGCCTTCGACATGGATGTTAACAAATGAACATCACAGGGAGCTCTGGAAAGAATCTGACATTTTCAATGGCTCAGACACCTTGGATTCATGAGCCCCTCAAATGTAAAGGTGTTAACATATGTAAGAGGTTTATGCAGAAACCCAAATCTCATATCCCATCACTCAAGGTCCCTGATATGTGAACAACAGAATATGCGCATTTAGTTCCTTTGGTCCTTTTAGGAGTACATGTTCATATTTATATGAAGAGTTCCCTGGTCTGATCTGAGCACGTTATCTCCCATGTAAACCAGAGCTCCAGAGAAAGGAGGGTAGACATATTGGTTTGTTTTCTGGGGAACCAAATTGAGACAGACTATACACAGATGCGCCTGTGCCAACACTTTTGCCGGCCCAAGTGAGCCACAGAACCGTCACCCAGACCCGTCGGTCCCTTTAAGAAGGCTAGGTCTCTCCGATCTTCTCTGTCCCCAGTGGGTTTCCAGCAGCTCCCGCAGCAAAAAGCAAACTTGCCTGGCTCCCGGGGCCCGGGGCGGGGGAGGGGAGTTGATTGGCCACGGCTGCGTCGGGTGGGCGCGGAGAGAGCGCCAGAGTGCGCTGCGGGCTGCTTCCCCTTCCCCTCTCCTTAACCCTTGGCGGAGCGGAGGACGAGGATCGTGCCGCAGCGCCAAGAAGCCAGGGCGCTGACTGCCCTGGACTCCCGAAACTTTGCGCGGAGCGTGGGCAGGACTAGACGGAGCCGAGCCTGCTGCCTGGCCGGGGAAAGGTGCCCGGGGAGCGACCCTGGTGCATCCCGGGTCCCTGGCCCAGGCGCAATCCAGGCAGGGGTGCAGCTGCAGAAGGGAGCTGTCCGTTCAGCACCACGGACCATCCAACCCGGGCGGGAGGAGCCGGAGGCCGGGCAACAGGCGGGGAGCTGTCCCTTCAGCACCACGGACCTTTGCCCTCCCAGGAAACCAGGCGGCCCCCGCCCAGGACTCTGCCTTTTTCCCCAGTTTGGGCGGGGGTGTGGGGAGCAGGCGGAGAGCTTTCCTGGGAGGCTGGGGAAGCAGTGAACACTCTTCTCAGCGATCGCCTCCCAGCAGTGCTATTTTTTGCCATCCGCCCTCACCCCCAGCACACGCGCTCGCACACACACGCACGCACACACACGCGCGCGCGCGCACACACACACACACAGACACAGGCACACACGCGCACACAGACCTCTCCGGATTTCTTTTCCTTGAGTCTCCAGGGGGCTGTGAGGAGCCAGGCGCATCTCAAAGCGAGCTGGAGGCTCCAGGCTCTGAAGCCATGCCCTGCACGAACCCTTGTCCTTACCAAGCTGCTGAGGAATGAAAGGAAGCCAGGGACCCTCCGAAGGCAGCAGTGATGTGGACCAACCCCCTGGAGCCAGCACCCTCCCGAGGGCCATAGACGACCCAGGGAACTGGAGAGAGCTCAAGACAGGAAACCCCAGCTTTCCTAAAGTCCCCGTGGATGCTGACAAAAGGAGATCTGAATTGTGGGGAGAGCCTGTCCTAGGTTACACAGCTGCAGAGTGATTTTTTCTCCTCCGGCACTGAATCTCCCCCCCCCCCACCTCCAACCCCCAGACGTCCAGAGTACCATGAAGAATTATGAGGATGTGTGACAGAGGTATCCAGATGTTGATCACCACCGTGGGAGCCTTCGCAGCTTTTAGTTTAATGACCATTGCAGTGGGCACGGACTACTGGTTATATTCCAGAGGCGTGTGCAGGACTAAATCTACAAGTGATAATGAAACCAGCAGGAAGAATGAAGAAGTAATGACCCATTCGGGGCTGTGGAGGACCTGCTGCTTAGAAGGTATTTACAAATTCCTCTCGATGGCTCTGAATTATCCAGCTTCTGATATCTGGTGGGTGTTCAGGGAGCTGTGGAGGCAGTGGTGGGGAAAGAGGAATAGTTGGGATTATTGCTGAGAATGTGCAGGTCTCCAGACTGTTCCCAGCAAGACCGATGCTGTGTGGGATGGAAGTGTTGGATCTTGTTGATTGTTTTTGGTGTAAGCTTCATGTGACGAGATTTGGGTGACACTCGAGGCAGCTTCTGCAGTTGAGATATCTCGAAATCCAGAATCCTCGGGCATGTTGTGAACTGCTTGGGTCTCTGGTTAGAGAAGAGGGTCTTCACAGTTGCTTTGATTGCATTTCAGTGGTGGGGTGAGGAAAAGAGGAAGCCAAGATAGAAGGGAGAGAGAGAGAGAGAGAGAGAGAGAGAGAGAGAGAGAGAGAGAGAGACCGACCCTGGTCTGACCTGGTGCATCCTGAGCTATTTCTTAACATAGTCTTTTCAGTTTCTTCTGAGTTTGGTCTAACTAGATATTGTCATAAACTTCCAATGCCAACCAGTATCAGGGTAACATGTGGAAACCCCCACCTCCTGCTACACACGTTTAAAGAAAACTTCCTTATTTATACCTGTGTCATTATTTTGGATCAAAATAAAACGGAAGTGTTAGGAATTGAATCCACCTGCCTTCATTCCTAAATCATCCCCAAACCCCACAAATAATATTTCATGGCATTTACATAAGGTTGATTCCCCAAGAACTGCAGCTCATCACTTCTAATTCTAAAGATTAAAGGATTTGTTCTACATTATAATGAAGAGGACAGAGCCATTTTAGAATGGGTAGCCTATCTCACTCTTGAACTTGTTTCACTACATGAGGGTTGACTCTCGGTAGCTCTGGGCAGTGCCTGGGTATCATGGGGAGAGAAAATAGAGATAAAGAAGAAAATCAAAGCCCTGTGGAACCTGGATGCCTGAGGGAAGTCACTGGATTAGAGGGACAGTAGACAGTTTTTTTTTCCAGGCTTCTGAGGAATCTGTCAAGCTTATCACAGTGATAAGCAAGAAAATATGGATTTCCTATGTCCTCCCCTCCCTTCCTGTCATAGCTCTCTATACCTGCATTCCCAGTGGCTGATATTGTCAGAGCTTCTGGAGAACTTGCATTTATGTAAATGTCTTAGGAAGTCATGCTATGACATCACTCACTAGTGTAATATTGCACCATCCCTGGCCTTCTTCCCATGCCCTGACTCTGAACAACTGCTCTCCTGACTGTAGCGCTACTACAATTGATTGTGTTTCCAACGCATATTTGCAACTGGTGGGAAGCCCAGGTAGGAAGGGGCTACTTAAATTGCAACTATGATCATGTGAAGTCGAAAGACCCGAGCAAGGCTGCAAATGACCTGTGTAACCTTGGCCAAGACCTTTGCCCTCTCCAACTCTCAATGTATCAATAGGAGCAATGATTAGTTTGCAATTGGTGGTCTTGCCTAAGCATTCTCCAACAGGTTTACTGTATCCAGGGCACTGACTGAAAATTGTGAGATGAATCTTTCTTAAACATTGACAAAATGTTAATATTTGTGATTCTTTGTGATCATGCACAAGCTGGATGGTGAAGTCATTTTCCTTAGGAAATTCCATGAATTCCTTTTCCTATGTTGGCAAGAAGGAATCAAATTATATTTTGGTGATACTGGGATATGGTGAACGTTTGGATGCCTACATAGTTCCAGAGATGGCATTTAAAAAATCTGAAGCACCTCTCAAGCCCCAAATGGCACATAGGTATATCATGTTTTAGTCATTTATAGTCCTTCTGCTTCTTGCAACTAAACCTGGAAGTACCCAATGAAACACCAATTTTGGCTTTCCCCATTATACTCTATGAAAAAAAAATCTGTCAGAGCAGAAGTGTGGCCTAAAATTTCTGAACCCTTGCTCAGAATTTCTCAAGTGATGGTTTCCTCTTTTTTCCCAACATCATGTCCTACACCCACAATTTGCACAAGGAATTGGAAATCCACCCAGGCTTTCTGTGGGCTTGGTGGGAGAAGTGAGAAATTGACTCAAGAAAGAACTGGATGAATTGAAGATGTGTTCTTAGGCAAGTGAATTCTTCTGAGAAAATTCATTTGCAGTCTTCCTACAATTTGGCCCAGCTAAATCATTTTTATACTTTTGAAATATTAAATACAACAAGATGCACAAACATTAATGGATCACAACAAATTTTTTAGCTAATGTATACAGCCCTATCACTAACATGTAGATGGGCCTGGCTAACATTTGAAATGGGATTCTTTCTTAATATACCCAATATATCAAGTGTTCGAGAAATTTGCGGGACCCTTTGGTGTCTGTATGGTAAGATACAGGCTGTAGGCAACATCTATTTCCATCCTCTGAGATTGAAGATGCATAGCCATCTCCTATTTGGTATCTCTTTTCTGTCCCCGAGCCTCAACATCTTCATCTTCTGGTCCTTTATGTATCCAAGGAGACCAGGGGTGGGAGTGGATCTTGTAGCTCAATTTTCTTACAGAGCCAATCAGAAGAGTTCCTCCTTCCATACATTTTTAAAAGCCAAGAGACAATGTGGCTAATTTGTCCAAAAGAAGAAAATGCTCAGGAGGGACATGGCAGTTGTCTGCAAGTATCTGAAAGGCTGTCATTTGGAAGAGAGATTTGAAATGTTCTATGTAGCCTCAATGTGGGTAGAAGTAGGGACTAGAGTTAAAAATAAATAACTATCCAATGGGGAATGGGAGTCTCCAGGAAGCCTTGGAGTCCCCAACATCAATGATATTCACATAGGAGAAAATACCTTCAGTTGTTCCTTGACTTGACTAGACATTGGAATCTCATGATGAGTTTTTCTAAAATAGATCATCAGAACCCACAATTAAATCTCTTGCTTCTATATGTCTATGATGGATCGCTAGAATCTGAATTTTCTAAGTCCTCCAGGTAATCATGAGGTTCAAGCCAACACATATTGAGTATTTACAAGGGGCTTGGACATGACTATGTTTGATAATGAGGATCACATCACTCAAGGAAGAGAAGGATATTTCCAGTTTTTATTCCCATAACCCACCAGAATGTCATTTATCTTTAGCCCTTACTACATGCTAACACTGCTCTATGAATTTCAAAAAAAAATCTTAAACTTTTGATGAAATGCTTTCCTGTTCAGAAGAGCTCAGTGATGTAGGTACAATTATCATTAATCTCATTTTATAGATGAGGAAACTGAGGAAAAAAAATTACATAACTTGCCCAAGGTCACAAACCTCCACTCAGCAGTCAATACTTAAAATCTACACTAGGCTGCTCCTCAGAGCATTTGCTAGAGAACATTAATTCGTGTTCTGATGGATAGTTTGCTACTGGTACAAGCATCAGCTCAGGAGAATGCCCAGCCACATGGGTTTTTCCATTCTAGAAGTCCCTGATCTCAGAACACTCAGCCTGTGTGGCATCAGCAGGAGAGCAAGAGCCACCAGATACCACCAACTCAGAGGTGACAAAGGACACACTTTGAATGAAAAAAAAAAAAAATCAACCTATGTACAGACACCCACACTGAGAAACCAAAACGAATGACTGACTCATTATCTGGAAGAGCATGCGAGGTATTCACAAAGTAGTGCCCGCCCTAACCTGCAGCAGGTTTCCAATGGCAGCCCGTGAACTGGAGTGAGAACATGTGCAGTATGGAACTCTCTCATTAAGAAAAACCTCTTCAAGTCCTAGCTACAACCAAAGCAATGTATTTCATGGGTAGAAAGACCACTGGCCTAGGAGCTTAGAAGCTCTGGGTGATATATTCATTTAATGTTACTAACAGTTAGCTCCATCGTGTGACTGGTTGTCCTCCATTGGAACCCAGTTGACCCAATTCTAAGAAGAAGAACTTATGGTGAGATGAGGGAGTAAGAAATACAAATAAATGTCCGTGTGGCCTAGGCAAGCAGTGTGAAGTGTGAAACAAGTATTTCAAAGTCCTCTGGATTCTATGGGGCAGGGTTTTAGAATACATTTGGGAAGATATATGGTACCTGAAACTTGGTCTCAGTGTGGGGGCAGTAGGGAGTGGTGGGGACTGTGGCAAATTGAAGGGCACAAGCACCATCTAAAAAAGCAACTATGACTTGACTTCAGTTGATTTTCACCTCGGGGAGATGTGCACCCAATGGGGCCCAGAATTCCCTGTAAAGAAAAGCCAGGGTGCAAAAATCTCTTCGATTTTAAAACGCGGGCAACTGGTTTGCCTTCTTAAAAAATCTGGCATTAATTGTTTCCATTGTAGCTGAACCTGGCCTACGGGATGCCAGTTTTGAGTCCCCCAAATTGCCTCAGTGCCCTTTCTAATCCAAATTTTGGATATTTTCATATCTGATCCCTAAATTGTCCTTTATAAGCCAATAATCACTTTTTCAATTCATTTTTTTTTAAATGAACTACTAAGAAAAGAAAGCCCACTTAGGATTTTAGGACAGGGGACTTAAAATTTATGGAAAAGAGGTTCAATAAACTGCTGTTTCTGCTCCAGATGGGCCTAGATGACACCAAACATCTGGCTGAAAAACTGGAAAAAAAAAATTAGCCAGTCATTAGAAGTTCCCCCATATTTCCTCGTCTCCAGATGGTTGACTTTTTCAGCCAGATGGGGTTCCAGCTTTATTTATGTGTTCGGAAGGCTTCAGGGAAGCTGCAAAGATGTGGTTGAGCATGAGGGGAGACAGAGACATCCCAGTTATGGAGGAATTCCTGTGTGCCGAGCCCTGGGCTCCGATGGGGTGACTCACATTTGGCATCTTCTACCCCCAGGAGACTCGGAACGCCATAAGGACCCCTGGGTTTGGAGACACGGCTGCTTAGACACAGTTCCTAAGTAGCCCCTTCTGCTCCCCCAGTCCTGGACTGAATGCCACACACCCCCCCTTAGCCATGGGTGTAGAACGTTCTAGAGCTCTTCTCCCTGTACCCTTCTGTATTCT